ATCACATTGGCTGATTTGGAAAGAATTTATTTGCAAATTATGGTGGAAAATAAGTATTTGGTCCCTACAAACAAGCAAGATTTCTGGCTCTCATAGACCTGTACCTTCTTCTTTAAGAGGCTCCTCTGTCCTGCACTCATTACCTGTATCAATGGCACCTGTTTGAACTTGTTATCAGTATAAAAGACACCTGTCCACAACCTCAAACAGTCACACTCCAAACTCCACTATGGTGAAGACTAAAGAGCTGTCGAAGGACACCAGAAACAAAATTGTAGACCTGCACCAGGCTGGGAAGACTGAATCTGCAACAGGCAAGCAGCTTGGTGTGAACAAATCAACTGGGAGCAATAATTAGAAAATGGAAGACATACAAGACCACTGATAATCTCCTCGATCTGGGGCTCCACGCAAGATCTCACCCCGTGGGGTCAACATGATCACAACAACGGTGAGCACAAATCCCAGGACCACACGGGGGGACCTAGTGAATGACCTGCAGAGAGCTGGGACCAACGTAACAAAGGCTACCATCAGTAACACACTACGCCACCAGGGACTCAGATCCTGCAGTGCCAGACGTGTCCCCCTGCTTAAGCCAGTACATGTCCAGGCCCGTCTGAAGTTTGCTAGAGAGCATTTGGATGATCCAGAAGAGGATTGGGAGAATGTCATATGGTCAGATGAAACCAAAATAGAACTGTTTGGTAGAAACACAACTCGTCGTGTTTGGAGGAGAGAGAATGCTGAGTTGCATCCAAAGAACACCATACCTAATGTGAAGCATGGGGGTGGCAACATCATGCTTTGGGGCTGTTTCTCCGCAAAGGGACCAGGACGACTGATCCATGTACAGGACAGAATGAATGGGGCCATGCATCGTGAGATTTTGAGTGCAAACCTCCTTCCATCAGCAAGGGCATTGAAGATGAAACGTGGCTGGGTCTTCCAACATGATAATGATCCGAAACATACCGCCCAGGCAACGAAGGAATGGCTTCGTAAGAAGCATTTGAAGGTCCTGGAGTGGCCTAGCCAGTCTCCAGATCTCAACCCCATAGAAAACCTTTGGAGGGAGTTGAAAGTCTGTGTTGCCCAGCGACAGCCCCAAAACATCACTGCTCTAGAGGAGATCTGCATGGAGGAATGGGCCAACATACCAGCAACAGTGTGTGCCAACCTTGTGAAGACTTACAGGAAACGTTTGACCTCTGTCATTGCCAACAAAGGATATATAACAAAGTATTGAGATGAACTTTTGATATTGACCAAATACTTATTTTCTACGATAATTTGCAAATAAATTATTTCCAAATCAGCCAATGTAATTGGATTTTGTTTCTCATTTTGTCTGTCATAGTTAAGGTCTACCTATGATGCCAATTACAGGCCTCTCTCATCTTTTTAAGTGGGAGAACTTGCACAATTGGTGGCTGACTAAATACTTTTTTGCCCCACTGTACCTACTTCTGCATTTCAGGACACATCTTGGCTATATCCACCATGAAAGAAGGTTCTGCACACCTTTACTTCAGGCCTAAAAAGGAACTAGTACTTCTTTTGCCCAAAGACGAAGACAAGTCATCAACCTGATTTAAAGGGAGGTAAGAAGGAATCGTGCATGTTGCTGCCTTCCCCGCTGAATATGGATTTCCATGTCTCAGCCTGGACTTTAGAGACCAACATCTGAAGTATTATTCTAAATGTTTGCATTGTTTTCCTTTGTTCTTCCCTTCCCTCTTGTTTAGCAGATATTCCTGGAAAGAATCTTCATTATTTATATTGGACTTGAACTAAAGTTTATTATAATAGAAATCATAGATTTCGACGGGGAGTGTCATGTTTCACATGACTGTCTTATTGACTGTCATATGCCTTTAAGTGTGTCTATATTTTGTTTCTGCTCCTCCTTTTCCTTTGGTTTAGTTAATGCTGTATAGATAGCTTTCCCCCTTTCCCAGAAATGCATTGCAGCTCTAGCCTCATGTCATGAAGCAGGAAACATTATGATCTTTTGACCTATCAAATGTTCATTGTTGTAAATTCTCTCAGTTTATGGAATAAACTTCACAAGATCTACAAGATGTCTTTTTTTTTTCTTTAAATATTTATTGATTTTCCAATTTAAATACATATCGTCATCACATTATATATATAAAAAAAAAAAATATATAATATCATACTTTATTTTCCCTTTTCAGGAATATTTCTCTATGCCCCCCGCCTCCTCCCCCCACCCCATCCCCATCTCTCTTCCCTGCATTTTCTCTTCATCTTCTTATAAGAGCAAGTACATTTTTTTTCCTATCTTACTCTTTATTCTTTCCTATATTTCATGTATAATCTGGCTTTTTCCCAATTCTCCCATTTCCCATAGTAGGTCTCCATCTTATCTTTTTGAATATGGCAGAGTTTTTCCATCTTTCTAATCTGCTCCACTCTTTCTATCCAGTCCTCTTCCTTCGGCACCTCCACTTTCCGCCTGTCAGGAATGGACTGGCCAGCAATGGTGGGACTCACCTGCCTTTTGATCTGCAGTACCAGGGCTGGCCAGCGGGTGCTCCCAGCAATCAGAGACTCAACCTTTCAGCCAGCTAACACCTGGAACTGATGATACTGGTGTATTTAAGGGATGGCCAGACTTGCAGACTCTGCCTTGGTGTTGTGTTTGTCCTGGGCCCTGTATCTGTCCTGCATCCTGTTTCTGTTCCTTTGCTGACCCTGCCTGATCTGAACCGCTGCTGACTTCTCCTGCTCTGATCCCGGCTCGCTCCTGACCATCCCTCTGCCTGACCCTCTGTACCACGCTGCTTGCTACCTGTTCTGATCCCTGGCTTGTGACCCTGACCATCCCTCTGCCTGACCCTCTGTACTACGCTGCTAGCTACCTGCTGAACCTGGCCTGTGACCCCGACCCATCTCCGCTTGCTCCCCCTGTACCTACCTGCCCTATTGATATTGACCCGGCCTGCCTGATGACGCTTGCTTGTATGTACTGTTATCTGTGGGTGGTTGGTTTGGTTTGTTTGCACTGTATTATGTTTTAGTATTGCACTGCGTTTATGTTTGTATGGTTAGTGTTAATAAATTATATTGTTTATCACATATCTGAAGTCTGCGTTTCCCTGCGTCAGTCACACACCTCTGGTCACACCTGGGAGCCCTGACATTACACCAAGGCCAATCCTGACCAGAAGTGGCTGCACAGGGAAGCCATCTTGGCTTGTTGCTGGGAAGGATGGATCTGGATGAGGTTGAGTATTTATCTCTGTTAGTGCTTGATGACAGAAAATATGCTTATCAGACTCTGAAGGAGTATACCGGGATGAACTGCTAGAATGTATACGGATCGCTCATGTTCTAGTAGATCAGGGCACAGATTTCTCTATGGTGCAGCCATTGATTAAGGTTTGTGTTGAGTTGGTTTCATCTGGTTTCCCCGAATGCAGGGATGAAATTTTGCCACCATTTAGTGCAGACCAGGTAGAGTCCCTGGTGTGGTTATTAGAGGATGATGTGGGTTACTTTCTGGAGCGTTATTCCACATGTTCACCACAGATACTAAGAGATTGTATAAACGCAGTGCAGTCTTTGGTCAGACAGGCTTTGTGTAAGCTCAGCTTTGTTCAACCCATACTGCAGACATGGACAGACTTGTTGCACGCAGCCTCAGTCAGCTTACAAAGACCCAGTCCTGCTTCTAATCTATTTCCTCAAAGCTCTACTCCTGTATTCCCAACAACTCCCCCAGTTACAGCCCAGTATACTTGGCTATCTACCGCATGTCAGTACCCTGTTCCCACTCGCTGCACCTATCCTGCCTTTAACCCTGTAAAAAAGCCCTCTGTAGCAACTGCTCCCTCTCCTGTTCCATCCTCCAGTTCTTCTCTGTCTCCCAGCTGCTCCATTCGTTTGCAGACCTGCGTTTACTTGCAGTGCTCCAGTAGTTAAAACCAGAAAAAAGCAAAAATTCTTTCCAACCAATACCATCCTGCCAGTATCCAAACCGGTGAACCTGCCTTCCATGGTTCATCCTGAATCCTCTACTCAGCCTGAAGCCTCTACTCAGCCTGATGCCTGTACGCAGCCTGATGCCTCTCTCGGCCTGAAGCCTCTACTCGGCCTGAAGCCTCTACTCGGCCTGATGCCTCTACTCGGCCTGAAGCCTCTACTCAGCCTGATTCCTCTACTCGGCCTGATGCCTCTACTCGGCCTGGAGCCTCTACTCGGCCTGGAGCCTCTACTCGGCCTGATGCCTCTACTCAGCCTGATGCCTCTACTCAGCCTGATGCCTCTACTCAGCCTGAAGCCTCTACTCAGCCTGAAGCCTCTACTCAGCCGGACGCCGGCATTCAGCCTGATGCCTCTACCCAGCATGATGAACTGATCCAGCCTGATGATCCTATTAGGCCAGTTGACTCGATGCCCGCTGTTGATCCAGATGATCCGGTACCTGATCCGGTGCCCGCTATCGTGCCAATTTACTCAGAGCCCGCTGTCGTACCTGGTGACTCGGTGCCCACTGCCTTGCCAGATGACGCGGTGCCCGCTGGCGAGCCAAATGACCTGATGCCTGGTGACCCAGGGCCCGCTGTCATACCTGGTGACCCGATGCCCGCTGTCGAGCCAGACGATCCAATGCCTGGTGACCCGGTGCCCACTGTCGTGCCTGTTGACTCGGAGCCCACTGCCTTGCCAGATGACGCGGTGCCCGCTGTCGAGCCAAATGACCTGATGCCTGGTGACCCGATGCCCGCTGTCGAGCCAGACAATCCGGTACCTGATGACCCGGTGCCCACTGTCGTGCCTGTTGACTCGGAGCCCACTGCCTTGCCAGATGACGCGGTGCTCGCTGTCGAGCCAAATGACTTGATGCCTGGTGACCCGATGCCCGCTGTCCAGTCAGACGATCCAATGTCTGACCCAGTGCCAGCGGTCATGCCAGTTGACTCGGAGCCCACTGTCGTGCCTGGTGACTCGGTGCCCGCCGCTTCGCCTGGGGGCCCGAGACCTGTCGCTCTGCCTGAGGGCCCGAGACCTGTCGCTCCGCCTGGGGGTCCGGCGCCCGCCGCTCCGCCTGAGGGCCCGGGACCTGTCGTTCCCCCCCCCTGGGGGTCCGGCGCCCGCCGCTCCGCCTGAGGGCCTGAGACCTGTCGCTCCACCTGGGGGTCCGGCGCCCACCGCTCCGCCTGAGGGCCCGAGACCTGTCGCTCCGCCTGGGGGTCCGGCGCCCGCCGCTCCGCCTGAGGGCCCGAGACCTGTCGCTCCACCTGGGGGTCCGGCGCCCGCCGCTCCGCCTGAGGGCCCGAGACCTGTCGCTCCACCTGGGGGTCCGGCGCCCGCCGCTCCGCCTGAGGGCCCGAGACCTGTCGCTCCATCTGGGGGCCCGATGCCTGTCACCCCCGCCTGGGGGTCCGGCGCCCGCCACCCCGCCTGGGGGCCCGATGCCTGTTGCCCCGCCTGGGGGCCCGATGCCTGTCGCCCCGCCTGGGGGGGCCCGGCGCCCGCCGCTCCGCCTGGGGGCCCGATGCCGGTCGCCCTGCCTGGGGACCCGATGCCAGTCGCTCCGCCTGGGGGCCCGATGCCTGTCGCTCCGCCTGGGGGCCCGGCGCCCGCCGCTCCGCCTGAGGGCCGAGACCTGTCGCTCCATCTGGGGGCCCGATGCCTGTCGCCCCGCCTGGGGGTCCGGCGCCCGCCCCCCCACCTGGGGGCCCGATGCCTGTCGCCCCGCCTGGGGGCCCGGCGCTTGTCGCCCCGCCCGGGGGCCCGGTGCCTGTCGCCCGCGCCCGGGGGCCTGGTGCCTGTCGCTCCGCCCGGGGGCCCGCCTGCCTGCTGCTCCGCCCGGGGGCCCGGTGCCTGCTGCTTCTCCGCCCGGGGGCCCGGTGCCCGCTGCTCCGCCTGGTGGCCCGCTGCCTGCTGCTTCGCCTGGTAATCCGATGTGCCTCTGCCCGGAGTCCTGCCCGATGTGCCTCTGCCCGGAGTCCTGCCCGATGTGCCTCTGCCCGGAGTCCTGCCCGATGTGCCTCTGCCCGGAGTCCAGCCCGATGTGCCTCTGCCCGGAGTTTAGCCCGATGTGCCTCTGCCCGGTGTGCCTCTGCCCGGTGTGCCTCTGCCCGGTGTGCCTCTGCCCGATGTACCTCTGCCCGGAGTCCAGCCCGATGTGCCTCTGCCTGGAGTCCAGCCCGATGTGCCGCTGCCCGGAGTCCTGCCCGGTGTGCCAGTCTTTGATATCCCGCCAGTTACCAGACCCGGGCGGTGGAACATTTTGCCCAGCTAGGACTGTTTGGAGCGTCCTGATGCCGCTCCTTGAGGGGGGGGGGTACTGTCAGGAATGGACTGGCCAGCAATGGTGGGACTCACCTGCCTTTTGATCTGCAGTACCAGGGCTGGCCAGCGGGTGCTCCCAGCAATCAGAGACTCAACCTTTCAGCCAGTTAACACCTGGAACTGATGATACTGGTGTATTTAAGGGATGGCCAGACTTGCAGACTCTGCCTTGGTGTTGTGTTTGTCCTGGGCCCTGTATCTGTCCTGCATCCTGTTTCTGTTCCTTTGCTGACCCTGCCTGATCTGAACCGCTGCTGACTTCTCCTGCTCTGATCCCGGCTCGCTCCTGACCATCCCTCTGCCTGACCCTCTGTACTACGCTGCTAGCTACCTGCTGAACCTGGCCTGTGACCCCGACCCATCTCCGCTTGCTCCCCCTGTACCTACCTGCCCTATTGATATTGACCCGGCCTGCCTGATGACGCTTGCTTGTATGTACTGTTATCTGTGGGTGGTTGGTTTGGTTTGTTTGCACTGTATTATGTTTTAGTATTGCACTGCGTTTATGTTTGTATGGTTAGTGTTAATAAATTATATTGTTTATCACATATCTGAAGTCTGCGTTTCCCTGCGTCAGTCACACACCTCTGGTCACACCTGGGAGCCCTGACACCGCCAAAACTTGGGTATCAGACCTTTTGCAGCGTTTAGATAGTACCATATGCCTGATTCTTTATATTTATTCACTGTTATATCTATATTGTGCAAGATACATACTTCTGGGTCTAGCCCTATGTCTATATCAGTTATCCTTTCTATCAAATGGATTATTGTCTTCCAAAATACTTGGATGGTATACCGTACCTATTTCTCCACATCCCCTCCAACACAACGGTGAATTCTCTCCACACATCCTATTTTCTACATTTGGTGTAATGTGCCATCTTATCAAACACTTATAATTCATTTCTACTTCCCTCATAGAAATATTTTCATGAGTTAATCTATATATTCTCCTCTGTTTTTCCTCACCTATCACAACTCCCATATCAGTTTCCCATTTTGCTATATATGTTGGCTTTGTGTTTGTGTCTAGTTCAGTGAGTACTTTATAAACTTTAGCAATCCCATGTTTCCCATCACCTCGTGTCCCCAATAGCTTTTCAAACAAGTTCCAGTTATCTCTTGTC